AAAATTAAAAAGAGCCCGCAATGAAAAAAAAAAAAAAAAAAAGCCCACGAAAGCGGGAAACGACGAAAACAGAAGAAAACAAAAGGTCATGGCAGCAGGAAACGTCAAACTTCGAAGGGGAACGAAAACCAACAAAAGAACATAGGACGAATTGGCGTGGCATTTATTTCACGATCTTAAATATTTTTTTAATTTTTTAAAATAGTTTTCATAGAAACATCACGACCCAATCTATAGACCTATCAATTTTCAGAGTTGTGGAGTCATCCTTCTGAGCGCGAAAAATCGCGTAAGTTGGGGTACTTTTCTCGTTGGCCGTCACATGATACAGCAACAAAAGACCCCAAAAAATGAATATAGGATGAATTGGCGCGGCGTTTAGTTCACGATCTTAAATATTTTTTTAATTTTTTAAAATATTTTTCGTAGAAAGATCACGACCCAGTCTACAGGCCTATCAATTTTCAGAGTGGTGGATTTATCCTTCTAAGCGCAAAAAATCGCGGAAGTTGGGGTACGTTTCCCGTTGGCCAACACGTGCAAGAATGACAAAAATGGGCAGTGCAACTAAACGGCGCGGCATTTATTTCACGGTCTAATTTTTTATTTTTTATTTTTTTATATATTTTTCCTAGAAAAATCACAACAAAATCTACAGGATCTCAAATTTTCAGAGTTTTTCCTCAATTCGTCTGAGCGCAAAAAATCACCAGATTTGGTGTTTGAAAATTGCGGGACTGGACCCGCCTGCCACACTGTGCAACGTTAGGGTTTGGAGACACAGGCACATTCTGACCTGTCAGGTGCCTGACGTCGGATACACTTCATAAAGAAGCAGTCCCCAAAACCACACAGGGACCCAATCCACCTGTGTGGTTAGGGCAGTTGCGTATTCAAACCCCAACAACAACCATTGATAGCAAACTTCAAAATATTAATGTGTGTGTGTGTGTGTGTGGGTGGGTGTGTGCGTGTGTGTGTGTGTGGAGGGGGAAAGGGGCGCTGGAGCAGCTAAAGGGCACAATAG